CATGCAATCTCCCGGTTTTTATCAAATTCTCCCGATTTTTCAGAATATTCAGGAAATATCATAAAAAGTTATATAAATATACTGTTTATAGCAACATAATAGTCTGTCTTGACCTTTTTTGAAGTTGCTTTATGGCAATCTATAGGATCACTTATAACAACATAGTCCCAAAATGCAGGAAACGCCATTTCAGAAGACTTAATTTTTATTCTTTCTTCCCAGAAGAACTAGATTTCTGATTCACTGAACAGTCTCCCTAAATTTTACCTCCAGTGGTTGGAATGTCTGTAACAATCAATAGACTATTCCATTAATGATTTTTATTAATTGCATATTTGCATATTAAAATTGCATGGACCAGGTATTTGATAGCGTGATTTTTATGATGATTGCATTGACTAATATTTTTGTACTCTGATATAGTCATTTAATACAAACACTACAAAAATAACAAGATTAAAATGACATTATCTACTTGGCAGTTGACACCAAGTTAAGAGTAAGAACATACATAATACATGTATATACATCAATACATATTCTTGCAAGTTGGAATATTTAATTTTTAATTATTTTTATAACACTATTAAACACTTTTAATTGTGCTGTTGAATTGGCGTACTGAAAAACATGTAGGATGTAAAGAGAATTCACAGACCTCATCTTCGTCTTCGTCTTCATCTAATGCACTAGTTTTAATTTGGCCGAATGAAAACGTTTCTTTTGGCAAAGCATTTTCACTTATGTTTTCTTCTCCCAAATTTTCCGCCATCTTGAATTTAGCCTCAATTTATATCCAGCCCGCAAACACCCTTAATTTGCAGCCCCATTTTTTCACTGATCTTACAACTACACTGGATGTGTATACCAAAAAATATATATGACAAAAAATATACCTGCATGAGCGTCCTTCATTCTTATAAAATTTGCAGTAAATAACTACAGTAATGGTGTCATTACAGAAATTACAGTAATTCTTGTGATTATGATTATAAATATTCTGACATGGTTTATCTCCTTATATATTTTCAGACTCTTTTCGAGTAGTTGCATCCCCACCAACAAAAGCTTGTTCCATTCTCATTTCAAGTTTATACTCGAAACTTTTGTAATTACTTTTACTCTATGTTATTCATAGGCACTCAAATGTTGTACTCCATCCAGCAATTTGAGATCAGTAATTGTAAAGCGGAAGCGGAAGTCAAAAAGCGGAAGTTCATGTGAATCTTATAATTCGAAACTTGATTACAAATTCACAATTTTATAAACAGCTGACAGCTGTGATATTAATATGATATCAAGTGCTGGATATCAAGTTTCAGCTACGGAAATAGCTGTTTTTGGTGTTTCCCAAAGCGGCGATGAATATAAATAAACACGGCAAGTGGCGGAGTGTTTTTGCGGTGGAAAGACCAAAGATTCGCACGCTGAGCAAAGAATAAAATTTAATATGTAAGAGCAAATACGAAGGTGCAAGCTTGCAGTTTGGTTTCGACTTGAATATTCAACACAGACTAAAAATGGGGAACATAATTCCCCTCGAAAGCCGCAAACGTCAAGAGATCGAAGGTGAGAGGTTGATATTTTACATATTTTTATCCCATTGTGCTAGATTACGCGTATTTATAAAATATTCGCAAATTGTTCTGTGTGTGTGTGAAAATAACCGTTTATGTTCTATTGTTCATATAATTTATTCAGTAAACTTTTAATACAGTACAAGTACAGAGAATGATAGTAGCAATTTGGTATATGTTTTGCCTTGGCTTGTCCGGGGGAAAACTCATTCGAGTTCGAAATCCAAATTTTGGAATTACATAATAAAACCTTTCCATTTTCAACGGGACAAGTAAAATTACTTCCCATGTTTCAGTACTGTATAAATTAATTTTTGTACACCATATAAAAGTATCTTGGTCGAAAACATTTTAAAATATGCATGTTATTCTGAAATTGGGTATACAAAGTATTGAGTTACCAAACTATTGTTCAGACTTGAACTTGTTTATATAATAAACTTGCATTTTCTAAATATCATATGGCACATTATATATTAGAAATGGCAAACTTCTAGTCTGAAAATGTAAGGAAAAATGTTAACATAGGCTAATTAAAAGTTCTGCCTTGTTGGTAAAGTGAAAATTGTGCTTTCTTGGTTTTACAATAAAATTAGTGTTTTAATGTATCGCAAACATGTGGGTCCAATGTAGATAGTTCAAAGCAATTATGATGGTCGAAACTTAGAATTGCCTAGAAACAATTAAAAACACTTTCAGTTCTCTAGTGAAGCCGGGAGGATAGTTTTTTCAAAGCAGGAAGGGCCGTCACTGGAAATGACGAAATGTTTTCAAGTGATTTCCGCATCAAGTGTCAGATAAGGTAGCTTGAACAATAGTTTATAATTGACCTTCACTGCTGGGTGCCAGTCGATATTGACGTACACCATGTATGCCTATTGTCCCTACAGAGATGTTGTTTGCCAAATGTTGTATGCATGCATGAACAGCACATGCTTCAAGCATATGCAAAAGTGCTGACTTGCTTAATTCCTGGTTCTGTGGAAAAAATACCTGGGTTTCATATTTCTTGTTGCAAAAATTTTCACTTCTTGGTATTTTTTTAAAACTTAAAACTTTTTGGTAATATTTTTTATAAATGCTCATCACTTTACCCATTAAGTTGCATCGCAACCTGATACGCTCTACTTTATTATATTACTCCCTCTAACACCAGATGATTTACTTGTCAATTTGGGCAGACTGTTGGTGCTCAATGGGTTAATATTATATCTGCTTTAAAACAAACAGGTTCTACTTTTTATTTCGCTAGCACAAATCATTAAATTGCATGGCATAATACATACTTACATTTTGCCGGTACCATATGACCTTACCAAGCCCTGAAGGTATTCTAAAGTCAAATGAAAAGTTAATGAAAAGTCAAAACATTTTAGATGTTTATAAGAAATCATACATAAAAGTCGGTATATGGGTATGCAGTCTGACATGTCTTGAAATGCAGAATTATTGGACTGATGGGACTATAAGCCGGAATGTACGTTGGAGTTAATTCTAGTGTTTGTGCAATTTTGCATGCCATCGTCCTTCCCATTCGAACTCGTAGTTTCAGATTACTGAATGAAATACCTTTCAGAAACCTGTACTTTATGTATTTCCAGGGCTGCAAATTACTGTCGGACATTGGACAATGTCCAACTAAATTTGGCAAATGGCCGAGCAAAAGTAATTTTGATCGGACATTGGTCTGATCACGAAAAAAATTGTCACATTATACATTTTTTTGCTGTGACAAAATCCGATTGCAATCCGTTGCGCCGGAATGGCTATACATACTTGTCTCGTGACTGACATATATCTTGTAACGTATATATGTCCGACCAAATTTATAGTGGTGTTGGTTTTTGTCCGACTAAATTCAAGTTATGACCGACCAAAATTCAAAGTGATCAGACAAATGTCCTGTCAAGTCAAATATTTATTTGCAGCCCTGTGTTTCATTTTAAAGACTAAAGTACACCTTGAACCTTAAATTTGCATTAGCCCAAGTATGAGGCAATAATCACTGGGGTACCGGCCAAGCAGATAAGACTAAATATCTGCATGCAGGTAAAAAAAAAACCAGGGTAGCTTTATTGTCAAAACTTCAGATAAAAAGATTGGGATAAAAGATTTTAGACTTACAGACAATAGGGAGGGTCATTTTTTTGCCTATACTAGTTAGGTTAGATTCTAACAAGAGGTCAGACAAAGCTGTAGGTAATTAATTGATTTGTGTGCACTTGTGCAAATTCAGGAAGTTTTTATTTTATTAGATTGCACAAATATCACCTTACTTTAAAAATACCATCAGCTATTAAGTTCAAAGTACAAGAACCCTGGAGTCTAAGGCACAGCATGTACCATCATTTAATTAATTAAGCACGAGTTTACATACACAGTCAAGCATTCAAATCTAATGCAATCATGCTGGGCTCTGCAGACAGCAACCATTTATTACTAAGCAAATTAGGCATCTGACAATAACAAAGGAATAATAAGAGTTGTCACTCCGGAATAAGAAAAACAATTTTTTTTGAGATATACTGCATATGGTAACTCAATAATGGCAATTTTGTTGATTTAATGAAAATAACAAGCTGCCTAAAAATAGCCAATTTTTGGTGAAATGTTTTCTTAACACCCACATGACCATACCATGTATTTTTCCCAAATTGTGACCAATAACAAACCAAGGAATAATAAGAGTTGTCACTCAGAAAAAAGAAAAACATTTTTTTTGAGATATACTGCATAATATGGTACCTCAATAATGGCAATTTTGTTGATTTAATGAAAATAACAAGCTGCCTAAAAATAGCCAATTTTTGGTGAAATGTTTTCTTAACACCCACATGACTTAATGGAATAATGCCATGTATTTTTCCCAAATTGTGACCAATTACACAAACAATTTTAATTTAAGTGAAAATTAGGCAATTATTGCAGATCGACCTAGCTTGCATGCGTGTCCACAGCACTTTGATCACGGCTTCTAGCTCTTAATTAAGTTGCCTCTGGAACTGATGATTTATAATGTCTTTAGTCAATGGACCATTCCCCAATTAACCAAAATTTTGAACTCAACAAGTCTAGACAAACATTTCATCACAGCTTGAAAGAGCATCACAAAGTTAGTAATATTCCCAATTTTCTTTGCAAAATGTTGTAAAATGCGGATAATATAGCCTTGCGAAATTTGCAATTTTCAGTCATTTTACATTACAAACGGGAAATGGTTACCACTTCTGTGCGTAATACAAAATGACTGAAAATTACAAACTTCGTAAGGCTATATTATCCGCATTTTACAACATTTTGCAACGAAACTTTGGAATATTACTAATTTTGTGATGCTCTTTCATGCTATGATGGAATTTTGTCTAGACTTGTTGAGATCAAAATTTTGGTTAATTGGGGAATGGTCCATTGGCTGTTTTATCTGCTAATGATCTGTTGAACCTGTCCAGATGGACACCTCTCTCTAGGGTATCGATCTGCAGTCGGCATAGTACAAAACATGGACTGGACCCAAAATTGGACTCCAAATTGGACCCACAATTAATTGGACTCAAAATTTTAGCCAAAATTTTGCCCAAAAATCCATTATTTTTTCGGAGAGAAACAACCCTCAGACTGATATCGTGCTTAATTGATTTAATTTGTATAGGCAAATAACTTCACGTTCCATCACTTTTCCTTGACCTATCTAGCTATTTGTCTTCCAAAATTCTATATATATAATATTCTATTTTCTAAACGTTATCTAGGGTATGTCGTAATTCGTAAATAATAAACCGCTTTGTGAAATATCTTTGCGCAATGGTCACAAATACATCACATCGATATAAATCATTCCATCAATGATGTTAACATCAATATATAGTTATATTTTAATTATATACATTTTGCGTCTGTATTATTAATACACCCTCTATATATTCCGGCATATATATCCTCTAACGAGTAACGAGTTCGCAAAGTTTGTTTTGTCCATATATTCTAATATTTATCGCAACTAGCTATATGTGGGCTTATCATTATGCATTAATTTATTCTATTTTATTATCATAAAATAGAATATAGAATTTTGGAAGACAAATAGCTAGATAGGTCAACGAAAAATGATGGAACGTGAAGTTTTTTGCCTATACAAATTAAATCAAAGCACGATATTCTGAGGGCTGTTTCTCTCCGAATAAATAATGGTTTTTTTGGGCAAAATTTTGGCTAAAATTTTGAGTCCAATTTTGGGTCCAATTTTGAGTCCAATTTTGGGTCCAGTCCATGGGTCCAGTCCATGTTTTGTACTACACCATCTGCAGTCAGTCTGACGGTTAATTTATCGATCATCACTCCCTTTCGAAAAAATTCTAATAGGAATTTCTATTGAAAAATGACCATGATGGATGCTTCTAGCTATAGACTAAATTTTGATCTAGGCACGAAGAACAAAGAGTGGCCGCGAAATGTTGTAAAATGCGGAAAATATAGCCCTGCGAAATTTGCAAATTTTATATTAATTTGTATTACGCGCAGGAAAATGCACCACATTTGGGCCGAAAAATTTCGCAGGGCTATATTTTCCGCATTTTACAGCATTTCGCAACCAAACTTTGCAATTTTACTAATTTTAACATGCTCTTTCTAGCTATGGTGATGGATTTTGTTCTTGCCGAGATCAAAATTTAGTCTGCAGCTGGAATCGCCCATTTCAAATGGAATTTTAACAGAAATTTAAACTTTAATAAACCTTTCTTATAATGACGTCAAACGCGGAACACCAATTTATGCATTGTCCCACAGGTCAATGCAAGTCTTGGCAAGCCAATACATTTCATAAAAAAAACATCATTTGCATTGTCACTTGGCCGGACATCGCATTAAGAGTTTTTCCGCGTTTGACGTCATGATAAGAAGGTCTATTCACTATTGAGTATTGGAATCCAATGAACTTCGGACAGAAAGAATCATTCCAATAGACCTTTCTTAAAATGACGTCAAACGCAGAAAACTAATTTATGCGGAAAACCAATAAATTTCATAAAAACAGCATTTGCATTGCGAATTGTCGCAATTGTCCCTTGTGGCATCGCATTAAGTTTTTTTCCGCGTTTGACGTCATTATAAGAATGTCTAATGGAATTGGCCCAAATTCCAATTCGAATTACGATCCCAATTGGAATACCAATTGGATTTTTGCGTGGATCCCCTCAGTCTTTCACATTTCATAGCAAATGCAAGATCTTTCACAGCAGGCCTTAAAGTATCGGTCGATCATGTCATTGTCTGACCCATTCATGAAATTGTCCGACGTAGAGAGGAAACCACTGGACATTCTGTCCTACCTAAGTGAAACTGAGGTTTATTGTTTGTCCGACCCGAAATCCCGAATGAATAGACCTTAGGCATAATGACGTCACAAGGCTTTATACCCGCGAGGAATGCTAGTCATCGCCCGGGAAAATTAAACAGTTGAAAATGGCCACTATCGATATTTTCGCGGGCGATGACTGCTAAGACCAGCATTCCTCGCGGACATCCTTGTGACGTCATTATGCATAAGGTCTGTTGGTGCAGTCTGACCTAATTGTAAATCAATCAATTTACATGTACCCTAGTCCAAGACTAGAGGTTATTATGTTAAAAGGAGAATCAGAGTAATGCAGAAAAAGTGAACTGGAAATGTGTAATCAGGTGCGGGGTTTTCACCGTGTGGTTCTGAAATTTCATTCATTACCAAGATTCAATTCAAATGACTTTTCCAAATTGTGCTGATATTAATTTGTGTCTGCATTCATCAGGGCTCGAAATAGCGGGCTGCCAATGGCCAAAAGCAGGCCATATTTTAGAAATGGCAGGCAAAACAAATTTGAACTGCCAGTTAGTCAAAAAGAAATGGCAGGTGAAATTCTATAGATATATTTCATTTCATTTGTTTACCACAACTCATATATACTAGATCATTTAGTTGACTAAATACGTTTATATTTGAAATGTAAACGAAGTTTACTGTAGTATAAAAATAGACAAGTTTAAAAACAATAAAATTGCATATCATGAAAACATTGATTTTTACAATATGACTCATATGAGACATCGCCATTTTGGCAGTTCAATGAGTAAAAATGGCAGGCTAAAATTAATTTCACCTGCCAAAAAATTTTAGACCGTGGCAGGCCATATTTTTTCTCTACTTCGAGCCCTGGCATTCATGCATATTTCCAAGCCAAACTGAACTCAAAGTCATCAGACATCACAATACATATATGTCCGACCCAAACTCAAAGTCATCGAAAATTTTTTCAGACGGTTCTCTGACTGACATTTTAAGGCTTGCACAGCCCTTAGCAAATGCAAGATCTAATCACTGTTATTTCATTAATGTGATAGATTTGGCCAATTCCATGTTAGAGACATTCGCCAGTGAATACCGAACAGTGTATGGTTGTCAAGTGTTTACATCTCATGAAGAAAGTGACGAATATATGTTTCCATTCGCACTCAAATTTTCTCCAGTAAGTTGGATATAATTACGTTTTTGCAATATAAATTTCATTTAAGGTTACAGAACAACCTAGATCGTCCAAAAAAATCGATTTGGGAAGTTTTTTAATCAAATTTAAGTAAGTTACATTGTTTTGTGTAACAACGTAGGATTACACCACTGTGCATAGTGTATACTATACTGATATCTTGTTATTAAAAATGCTGACAGCTTGCAATTTGTTAATTAACCTATATGTTACAGTGGGAAAGACTAGATTATCCTATCAAGAAAGGCTACCTCACAAAACAGGGTGTTATAAGAAAAACCTGGAGAAGAAGATTTTTTGTTGTCCAACCGAACTACTTGATTGATTACTATGAAAATGAAGAGGTATAGAGCTGATTGGCATTCACTTAAAAGACCTTAAAACATAATTTATGTAATGGAATTATGTAACGAAATTTTGATCTAGGCAAAAAGAACGACATCCAACACCACACCTAGAAAGAGCATCTTAAAATGAGTAAAATTGAAAAGTTTGGTTGCGAAGTGTTATAAAATGAAGAGAATATAGCCCTGTGAAGTTCGCAAATTTTGTATGTATTTGCATTACGCGCGGGAAAAATAACCATTCTTGAGCGGAAAGTGGTTATTTTCCCGCGCGTAATACAAATATATACAAAATTTGTGAACTTCACAGGGCTATATTTTCTTCATTTTACAACATTTCGCAACCAAACTTTGCAATTTTACTCATTTTAAGATGCTCTTTCTAGCTCATTTTAAGATGCTCTTTCGGGATTTGGTTGTTCTTGTCTAGATCAAAATTTCCATAGCTCATTAAAGATCGATATTTTTTTATGATATGTTGCTATTTTTTAAAACCTCTTTGATGTATCAGGCGTATGAAAAAGGGTTAAAACCAAAAGGAACGATCAATCCGTGCGGCTACAGAACCGTCAGTAACCTGGAAGATGAACTGACAAAGCGACGAAAGAAATTGGCTGCCATGTTAGGTAACGTCCGTGCTGCATTTAGTTCATTATTGGATTTGCATAATTGTCATTCAATATCTACGTTCACCATAAACACTGCATAATATCCCTATGGAAGGTACTCAAATACTCTCTTTGGAATTTGGATAGTGTTGCATTTTGCCTGCCAAACAGCTAAAGGGCGCAATACACACCTCAGGCTCAGCAGCGATTCCCAATCACGCATATTTCCCTAGCAATTAACTTTCATTAATATAAAACCACATCCATTCGGTTGATATCAGGCATGATTTTTTCGGTCAGCATCGAGATTTCGAAATCACTTGATCTCTGAGCTGATTTCAATTGTGACATGGAAAGTAGATAGTGTATTGATTTGTACTATGTTCCATAGGAGTTGCTCACCAAGATTCGCCAGAGAAATTTCCCAAACACATATTTGGTGTCGTTCATGAGAAATTAAGATCTTACTTCATCCACGCTGATAGCGACGAGGAAAAATTGGAATGGGTTGAGATGTTTCGGCTTTGTTGTGCTTGTGTAAAAGGTACTGGGTTGGATGACCAAACATTAGCTTGTTTTATATAATTATTAATAACTATAAGAATTCAAGCGCTTTCATTGGTCGAGAGCCATGATCTATTAGAGGGCAGACGCACGGAATTACGTCACACAAAACTCTTTGTTCTGTGCTGCAGTTAATCACAACACAGAACGTGACTTCAGGTAGCCAATAGCATTCCCTTATCTGTATAGATAATGTGCGCGTGATATTTGTAAAATTTGAACTTTTTCAAATTTCCAAATGTTTGGGTGGATAAAATGCAAGCTATTTATTTCATTTGGTGTTTTCTTTTTATTGAAAAGCCAATGGTAGTGTCACTTAAGAAAGGAGAAATATTTCAACCTTGCATGCAATGATAGTATAGCCAGCTGAGTAGGCAACTATTAGTATAGTACTATTACTAGGATTAGGCCACCCCCCTCCCTCCCCCCTACTTGCAGACAACCTTCAGTTTCGAACATAGAGCTCAGAGTTGAATGCTAATGGCGGGAAATTTGACCATGCAATAGAAATCCTTGAAATGAAGATTTCTGAAGTGTTCAGTTTGCTGTTGCTTCGCCCTATACTGTACTGTAGTCTGCCGCATACTGAGATTATGATAGTACTAGCGTACAAATTTCCCAAACCAAGCACGAAAGGGCATATGCGTTCAGTATCATGAAAATTATTTGGGAGCTATTCAGTAGTACCACTAATCCATGCTGTATTCTATAAACTTACCCTTTGCTATCACTCTTCACTCCTAGGGTTTAACATCGTTGATCCAATCTGCCAGACAACGTTCAACAAGGCCATTTCGAAGACTTTGACAGCGTACGCTAACCCAGAATATCACAACTACAGGGGCCCTGAAGAAAAGGTTAAAATATGTAACTTTAAACTTTGGTTCGATCTTGTTGACCATGGAAATAATTTTGCTAGAAGACCTAATGCAGGGCTCGAAATAGCGGGCTGCCAATGGCCGAAAGCAGGCCACATTTTAGAAATGGCGGGCTAAAACAAATTTGAACTGCCAAGTAAAAAAAAATGGCAGGTGAAATTCTATAGATATATTTCATTTCATTTGCTTACCACAACTCATTTTGTTGACTAAATACGTTTATATTTGAATTGTGAATCCAAGTTGAATTGACAAGTTTAAAAATAATAAAATTGCATATCATGAAAACATTGATTTTTACAATATGACTCATATGAGACATCGCTTTTTTGGCACTTCAATGAATAATGGCAGGCTAAAATTTATTTCACCTGGCTGCCAAAAAAATTTAGACTGGCAGGCCATATTTTTTCTCTACTTCGAGCCGTGCTTAATGCTATAATTATAATTGCATTTCAGGTGATCTGTGATGTGGTCACAGCTGAGATTGATTGCAGATTCATGGTTGAAGTATGTGGAAATGTAAAAGGAAACTTTGCTGCAAAGATGAAAATCAGAGATCAAGTATGTTGACAGACGTTATCGATGACCATACGTTTATCAAATATTTTCAAAATTTTTGCCTTGCATGGATTCTGATTGGCCGTGGACTTAAAATATCAACGAACGTTGATTTTCAAAATCGAATAAATAATATTTCCTTGACACTTGATGTTCGTTGTAAAATTTACTTCTCTCTGACTCTCTATGCTTCAAACTACTAAATTTTCGATGCAAATGTTTCCAATGATGCAAATGTTTCCAATGATGCAAAAGCGTCTTTGTGACAAATTGTGAGATTTTTCGTGTGTAATATCTGGTCAAATTAACTATAGTAGGGAAGAAGGTTAAAATAACCACTTCTGTAGGTTAACTAGGAAGATTTTAACCACAGTGTTTTTAGAGTTTAGACGGTCAGATAGGTCTCCATGCGCAAAACAGTTACTATTTGTTTGGTAAGGAATCGGGCAGCCCCTTGCTCCCCA